TTTTTTTTTTTTTTTTTTTTTTGGGAGACAAAGCTGTTTTCTTATTTCATTATTTCAATTCGTTATCAAAAACTTGAACACGTACGTTTCGTGTGCAAAAAGCTGGCAGTGAACGTCCGATTGCAATTCTTTCGTTTATTAACGATACACATCTCGAACATTTTATTTAAAAAAAAAATTATAAAATTTTAATCTCAACCTGTAGAAACATCGTTGGAAATCTTCAATGAATCTTCAGTAAATGTAACCAACACACTATGATTCGTTAATATTGAGATATTATATTGTCCGAGAGATTCTTGTTCCATAATGGTGTTACTGGATTGATTGTTTTATTTTTAATATATTGAAGCATCTATTCCAATTAGAAATTTCACTTCTTTAAAATATCCACGTAGTTGGAATTGGTAAAATGGTAGCGAAATTTGAAATCGCAGAAAAAATTCCAATCAAGAAATTGCATTGCATATACATATGCAATGGTGTGTATATCTAAAATATACAAAGTTAATATAAATTTGATGTAACCTGTTCGTTATTGGAATTTTAATTTATATTGGAAATAAACTCCACGTGTCTATCGACTAAAAAAATTATTGTAAAACATTGGGAAACAATTGATCCAATAACACAGTTACAAGAGCAACAATATCTCATCATGGTGTTCGAGTGTTAACAAAATAATCATTGTACATTTTCTAACATCGGTATACATACTTACTGTACGTGTATTCTCAATATGTTCGTTCGTCGCAAGAAAATGACAATAATGGTAAATTGTAAGGTAAGTTTAAGAAACAGTGTTTGTTCATCAATGACAAATACCTCTCAATTGATCAATATGACTTTTGAACTTGCTTCGTTTATTGATCACTGATTTTTACACAATAGCCCTGAAATCGCAAATGACAAAACGTGACATCGGGGTCGAACGAAATTACGATACATTACGGAGCATTCGCCCTAATCTATCCTCCAATGACGAAGTAAAGTAAGAGTAGGATTATTCAGGCGAGGTAACGAGAAAAAGGAGTTGAATACCTTTGTATAGAAGGAGTGTGCAAATTTGAAACGCATCGTATATCTTTTTGTTTTTTTTTTCTTTTTTTTTTATATAACATCATTTATTAAGGGATAAAATAAATGACAAATAACATATCACTTATACGAAACTATAACATTTCTTAAACTGTTCATCATTCGTTATGATATAAAAGAAATCACATCACATACGACCCTCCACGTAACGCTTCGCACGCTCGTGTCCGCTCGATTTGCGCGCAATTACATCGTAATGCGATCCTCCTTCCTTTCTCTTCTCTATCGTTCGAATCTTAGAAATCCTTTCACACTACGAATAATAATAGTAATGATAATAATAATATAATATAATATAATATAATAATAATAATAGCAATAGCAATAATAATAGCAGTAATAATTAAAATACACGATCGACATCGACTCGATCGACTAAAATGGACGAAATGGACAACGAAGAAAGAAACGACCACAACGCAGTTTTTTGTCAACCCGGAACGATTCCATGTGTTAATCAGAGTAAAACGATAGCGTCTCACGCCGCGGCCCATGATAAGATTAGGCGTCGACCGCGTCGCTTAATCGAATCAACGTGACCGTGATGTTCAACAAGGCGGAGTCGCGCATAAATGGAATTCCCCGAGCTTTCATTCAACTCTTTTTTTATTCAACCCTTTAGCAATGACTTTGGATACGCTCGCCCCCGCGAAGAGGCAAATTACCTTCAACTGTAAAAGTTCAATCCGAATTTAATTGCAATTAATCAATCAATAGGTCAACTCGTACTAATACCTATCAGTTGATTCAATCAAGTATCAGTTGAAATCAATCGATTACAATTTTGTCGTACGATTTCGATGATCACGTGTCCGAAAACGAAAATGGAATTACCATTGTTAAAGGGTCGAACGAACGAAAAATGACTGAAGTAGAAACGAGAGAAAAAAAAAATATATATATATATATCGGGTTATAAACGTATAAAAATCGAAGGGATTTGCGATCGCGGCAGATCGAACAGATTCGAGCTCACACCAGCGTGTTTTACTACCTCTCTCTCTCTCTCTCTCTCTCTCT